CTACTTTGTCAACAGGAATTCTAGTTACAAAGACACAGAAAACAAATCTGCTCCAGGACTTCCTGAATCCTACTTGTCAGACCTCAGCTACTGGTCCTGGAAACAGTAATGGTCTTGATGTCAGTCACTCAACACTGCTCAACATACATCAGTTATTCTCCTGTTTTCGTCTAGGAATTTCAGTGGGCTTGGCACTTTGCTTATTTCTCCATATGTACTGTTCACCTTTTAGTCCCCTACCAATGATTAGTGTATCACATTTCTTGGTAGGACACGCCTTTATTTTTAACCTTTTTTGGAGATAGGGTCTCCTGTAGCCCAGGCTGGCTTTGGACTCCTTATGTAATCCAAGGATGAGCTCCTGACTCTGCCTCCTAAATGCTTAGATTAAAAGTATGCATCTCAATTTCTGCCAAATGAAAAATTTTCCTTGGCTAAATAAGGGTAAAAGGCAGGAGATATTTGTTGATTAAAACTTCTCAAATGAGGAGGCTGGAGAAATGGCTCAGTAGTTAAGAAGCACTGGCTTCTCTTTCATAGGACCCAGGTTCAATTCCCAGCACCCACATGGAAGCTGTCTGTTACTCTTGTTCCAGGGGACCTAACACCCTCACACAGACATACATGCAGGTGAAACATCAATGAAAATAAAATAGAAATAAATAATTTAAAAAACAAAACCTTCTCAAATGAAGATGGGCATAGTGGCACACACCTTTAATTCCAGCACTTGGACAACCCAAATAAATAAATACAAAAAAGGAAGAAAAAGCTGGGTGGTGGTGGTGAATGTCTGTAATCCAAGCAGGTGGGCAGAGGCAGGTGAACCTCTGTGAGTTTGAGGCCAGCCAGGACAGCAAGAACTACAGAGACCCTGTTTCGAAGGAAACACTAAACACTTCTCAAATAACAACTCTTCAATTGTAGTTTTTATTTTAAAATTAAATCCCCAAATCACACTTTTGAGTTTTCCTCTTTTACTGCCCCATCACTCTCTCTCTCTCTCTCTGAAGCAGGGACTTTCTACATAGCCCAAGGTGGCCTGGAACTTGCCATGTAGACCAGACTGATTAGTGCTGGGATTGAAGGCATGAGCCATCACACCTTGTGCTGATTTCTTTTATTGTTTTGTTACTACTTCAAATACTTATCATTTCTAAATTATATATACAGGTTTGGATGTTGAGCTTATATAAATATTTCATAATTTTTGTCATGGTCTAGCAAAATTTATAAACCAATGCTCACCAGCACTCTGAGAGGCAAGGAGGATGTTGTTACTTTGTCTTTGTATGATGGTTATGGCTCTTCATTATATGCAAATGTATTTCTCCAAGTCACTTTCCCATGTTCACTTCAGTTACTCTGTCTAGGAAATAATTATAAGATCCCTAAGATATTAGGATTGCTACACCAGCTTGTTTCTTGGGTCCATTTGATTGGAAAATCTTTTCCCAACCCTTTACTCTGAGGTAACGCCTGTCTCTGAAGTTGAGGTGTGTTTCTTGTATACAGCAGAAGGATAGATTCTGTCTTCGTATCCATTCTGTTAGCCTGTATCTTTTTATAGGCAGGCTAAGACCATCGACATTGAGGGATATCAATGTCCATTGATTATTGGTTCTTGTTTGTTTTGGATTTATTGGTGATGGTGTCATTGTGTGTGGATTTCACCCTCCTGCTTCTTTTCCTGTTTGGTAAAGTTGGGTTACCTATTATTTCATATGTTTTTGTGAGTGTAAAAGGAGGGAAAAGTTTTCCCTCCAACCCAACGAAGATAACATCAAAAGAGATGAAGAAGGGCATTTCATACTCATCACAGGAAAAGCCCATCAAGAGGAAGTCTCAATCCTGAACATCTATGCCCCAAATACGAAGGCACCCACATTTGTAAAAGAAACATTACTAAAACTCAAACAACAAATAAAACCACACACAGTTATAGTAGGAGACTTCAATGCCCCACTTTCACCACTAGACAGGACCACCAGACAGAAACTTAACAAAACAAAGGATCTAACAGAAGTTATGACCCAATTGGGATTAACAGACATCTTATAGAACGTTCCATCCAAACACAAAATATACCTTCTTCTCAGCACCACATGGAACCTTCTCTAAAATTGACCACATACTTGGCAACATAGCAAACCTCCACAGATACAAAAAAATTAAAATAACCCCCTGTATCTTATCAGACCACCACACTTTAAGATTAGAATTCAACAACAATACAAATTGCAGAAAACCTACAAACTCATGGAGATTGAATAACACCCAATTACACCATTCCTGGGTCACGGAAGAAACAAAAAAAGAAATTAAAGACTTCCTAGAATTTAATGAGAAAGTAGACACAACATACCCAAACTTATGGGACACTCTGAAAGCAGTGCTAAGAGGAAAGTTCATAGCACTAAGTGCCCATATAAAGAAACTGGAGAAAAGTCACACTAGTGAATTGACAGAACAACTCAAAGCTTTAGAACAAAAGGAAGCAAACTCACCACGGAGGAGTAGACGCCAGGAAATAATAAAACTGACGGCTGAAATTAATAAAGTAGAAAGCAGGAAAACATTACAAAGAATCAATGAAACAAAGAGTTGGTTCTTTGAGAAGATCAACAAGATAGACAAACCTCTATCCAAACTAACCAAAAGGCAGAAAGAGCATGCTAATTAACAAAATCAGAAATGAAAGGGGGGACATAACAATGGACACTGAGGAAATACAGAGAATCATCAGGTCATACTTTGAAAACCTGTACTCCACAAAATTTGAAAACCTAAAGGAAACGGACAATTTTCTGGATAGATATCACCAAAATTAAGCCAAGAAGAGATAAGCAGTTTAAATCCACCTATAACCCCCAATGAAATAGAAACAGTCATCAAAAGCCTCCCAAAGAAAAAAAGCCCAGATGGCTTCACTGCAGAATTCTACAAAAAATTCAAACAAGAGCTAATACCAGTACTACTCAAACTGTTCCACATAATAGAAGCAGGAGGGACATTGCCAAACTCTTTACGAGGCTACAATTACTTTGATACCCAAGCCACACAAAGATACAACTAAAAAAAAAAGAAAACTACAGACCAATATCCCTCTCATGAACATTGATACTAAAATTTAATCCAAGAAAACATCAGAAAAATCAGCCACTATGATCAAGTGAGCTTTATTTCAGGGATGCAAGGATGGTTCAACATATGAAAATCCATCAATGTAATCCACCACATAAACAAACTGAAAAAGAAAAACTACATTATCATCTCATTAGATGCTGAAAAAGCCGTTGACAAAATCCAACATCCCTTCATGATAAAGATCTTGGAGAGAACAGGAATAACAGGAACATATCTAAATATGATAAAAGCAATATACAGCAAACCAACAGCCAACATCAAACTAAATGGAGAGAAACTCAAAGCAATTCCTCTAAAATCAGTCTACATACCTCTCCAATGTTGTACTTGAAGTCCGAGCTAGAGCAATAAGACAACAAAAGGAGATCAAGGAGATACAAATTGGAAAGGAAGAAGTCAAACTTTCACTATTTGCAGATGATATGATAGTCTACATTAGTGACCCAAAAAACTCTACCAGGGAACTCCTACAGCTGATAAACACCTTCAGCAAAGTAGCAGGATACAAAATTAACTAAAAAAAAATCAGTAGCCCTACTATATACAGATGATAAACACAATGAGAAAGAAATCAGAGAAACATCACCCTTCACAATATCCACAAACAACAGAAAATATCTTGGGGTAACGCTAACCAATAAAGTGAAAGACCTGTACAGTAAGAACTTTGAGTGTTTAAAGAAAGAAATTAAAGATACCAAAAAATGGAAAGATCTCCATGCTCTTGGATAGGTAGAATCAACATAGTAAAAATGGCAATCTTGCCAAAGGCAATCTATAGATTC